GCCAGCAATAAAAAACAACAACCAGAGCTATTTTGATGCGTCAGACGTGCCCTGGACGTGCCTCCACATAGACTTTGAATGTAAACCTGACGCCCGAAACGCTAGATGTAGAGCAAAATGTCAAGCGCCTGCATTCAAAGTGCACACGCATTGAACTTTAAGTGTCAGAGGTTTTTTTGATGTGCGTAGCACCATAAAAGATTTAGACAAAAATGTCATGTTCTCCAAAAGAAAGTTCATCTTACATGGCCATCTTTTCAGTACTAACCTGCTGGTAGGCGGTGTTGAGTAGCAGGTACCTCTCAGACTTTCTCAGGGGCAGAGAGAGGCTGTAGAGAATGTGGACAGCAGCCAGGAAAAAGCTGATCAGACCCAGTTGTTTCCTGCTCTGTAGCCAGCTTTCCAACCAATGAGGGAACTGCTTGTACTTGGTTCCATAGTAAAGCTGGTGTGCTGCAGCCAGCTGGCCAGCCAGGTACACCAGGGCCAAGAGAGTGATGGCAACAGTGGGCAAGGTGTGATTCACTATCTCTATGGGAATCTTATAGAAGTCACTCTGCTTGTGCTTCACATATGGGTGAATTATATCACGTACAAAAGAATAACCAAAAAAGAAGATGGAGAGGGCAACAGCAGCAAGGACAGGGCCCTTCCATCCAGGGAATAACTGGACAGGGATGTTCTCGATGTAACGGGACAAAGACAGGGGACCCATATCCACAGGCTGGAAGTTGAGCTGGCGTGCCAATTCCATGATCAGCTGGCGAGCCTTTATCGAGTCACTGCAGATGAAGACCTATCAGAGCAAGAAACGCAGGTTAAAAATGAAGGAAGAAGGCAAAGAGGTAAGATGATAACGATCTGTGTCCCAAAGAGTCTGACAGTGTTGTGTGTTTACCTAGACACAACACTCGTATTCCATAAGTTTAGGAGCTTTTTTGGATCACCATCAGACATCATTAACAGGATCTCTACATGTTATGTTCCATTTCCTTCATATACAGGAAGATAAATTTCTCAGTCTTATGAAAGTGGAGGATGACAGCAGTATTCATACTTCATGCACAGATAAAAGAAAAACCCTACAGTGTTAAGAGACCTTGAGAAACCAACTCTGTTTCTGAGGCAATAAAATCAGCATGGCTGTCTGTAAGAGCAGACAAGTAAGGGTGGAAAATGTAGGCTTTTTTCCTCAGACTGGACTCGTTTATTTACTTTAGCCTGTTTATCTTTGGAAGTACAGAGACACCGGTTAATCAATGGATAGATGACATTCAGTTGTACCTGGGTGCTGGCATCTTTTGGGTAGATCTGCTGCATGGCCCAGGCAGAGATAATGTTGAAGCCTTTAACCACGACAGAGTCTGGCAGCAGTGAAGCCAGATATTCAGCATTCGATTCTGGATACTGGTTCACTCTCCGATTGTTACTCACATCAACAAGGACCTTTCCTAGAAAACAACCAACCAAACTATTTTGAGTTTCTTTCGTCAAGTCCGATCATTATAAGCAGTTTGGGGCTTGTTTTTTCTAAAATCATTGCAAATTTAATGAGTCGCGGGATGCGCTTTTTTGGGCTTGTTTTTGAAGTTTTGAAGTTGCTTATTTGGGTTTTGAAATAAACAGACATAAGCCCCAGTATGGGGGAATTTTCTGCCATAATCCAAGACCACACATTTTCATTTTCAAAGCAGGACTTCATGTCTTTCTTCTCAAAACTTGTAACACTTGTACTCAAAACTTCTCCTCACACTCACAATGCCGGATATTTCTGTTCATATTGACGGACTATTGACGTGAGGGCTTGGTGGACAACATTTCACAAGTGAGATGAACATATTACCATTTATATTTTGTGAATAGAATATTATTGTACTGTATTTATGTCCACAAGCAAAATGCCAGCTAATATTAGCTATAGTGCTTGGTGTAATACTGGGGGTCAGCCCCCGCTATGAAGGTTAACCTAGTTTTTGTAAATTTTAAAAAGTTTTAATTATTCCCCAACATTGATTTGAATTATGCGACACAAGGTGGCAAAGACCGTGATTTATATGCAATTCTTTCACTGAGAAGCCAGCTCAATGGCAAGAACAAGATCCGTGTGATAAACAGCTATGCCTTACCAGTAATCAGATAC